GTCGAATAGATCTATTACGTTAACAAATCGTATGTACGCTGTGATTAGGCTTGTGCGCCAGTGCAAGATATGGAAACGAATTTTGAAGCATAATAAAATTAAAGCCATATTTAGTGGTAATCAATTTTCTTTTACTCTTTATCAAAAGAAAATTTAAGCTTAGTGTTATTTGCCAAAAATGTTTTTTTTTGTTTACTTAAAGGCGTGCTATTCGACGTTCTTAAAAGAGGGAGATTAAGAGTTGATGCTTTATTAGTTATCTCTATTTATTGACTTCTTCGCTTCGTACTTATTTATTTCCGTTTGTACAATACAAAATAAAGCAATCTATAGCATATCTCTTGCTGTGTTGCTAACCTTACCCGCCGGACGCGCACGTATAATACGCTTTTGGCTCCACACCGCTCAAAGGGCCTTATACGTGGGGCAAGTTGGCGTTAGAGCTCATTGTAATTTATGGATGTCCACGCGCACTGCCCCGCGAATGCTAAGTCCCGATGAAAGGATTAACCGCCTGGCTAGTAAGCCAGAGCAGTAGCTCAGATAGACTTAGGCATCTGAATTTATACATTCGTTTGTGTGTCAGGTTTGTGCTGGAACGTTGTTGTGTCAGGTGATTAGAGCTGTGCAAGTGTTACTGTGAAGATTGATGCGAACTTTTGAATTGAATTATTCACCATTAATTCACTATACGTCATCACAGAGGAGCTTACCCTAGATTTGGGCTGTGACTAGGCCTTAGTCAAACTCGCTGGCCTAGTACGGGTTAGTTTTTCAAAACAAATCGGTGTTTTATGTTTTGAATTAGCAGAAGATAATGCAGAAAACATCTCTGACTGATTCTTTCACCATATAAACCAAAACATTACATTGTAAATTCCCCGATGGAAATACCATTGCAATGTTGTGAGATTGTGACCTCATCTTACATCCAAATTACTTCAGTTGTTTTTGACTTGATCAATTAATATTTTTATCGAATCGTCCTTGTGTTTGCAATCATAGTTCCACGTTTCACTTTAGCACGTGTCAGCATAACTTGCGTTGCCGACTGTACACATATTTGTCACCGCCTTAAAAGCGATGTAATAAGACAATTTGTGTTCAGTGCATAGCCTCAGCGAGTAGAGGCCATATCTAATGAGGAGTTCATGAGTGTCACCATTGTCTCTGGTGACTTATAGGTAATGTGGCAGGAATTACTCCGTGATGAGGCGACTTAATGATCGGATCAAGACAAAGTTTTGGCTCCAGTACTTCTCTATCTACTTAATTGGCTCAGTGATTTGTTATTGAATATCAATTTAGATCTACTTTGATGCGTTTGTAACGTACTGCAATGTGACCTTGATTGATAAGATTTATGCCAAGAAGGTCGCGAAAAGTAGATACGAGAAAAACTTTACACTGAAATTGTATTTAAGACTAGTCTGTTAATAATTTCATTACAAACGTATATAATAATTACATCTGAAGTTTGATGTACGATATCCCAAATCGATTTAATTCACCAGTGTACTTTTTACCGTCTTGAATGTCTACAGGCAAATATTAAAATAATTATCATTATATTGAATAGAGTTGTAAAATTCTTGGAACTTCATTTAAGAATAATCGTTCGCTCAGAAGAAACAATCGAATAAAGCGTTGCCGAAAACAGAGCCAAAAGTTAAACGACCCTCGTAAATACGGTATCGATATTAATAAAAAGTTGACGGAGAAATCTAGAATAACCTCAATGCAAGCAACACCAAAAGTCGAGATCTGGCCTCTTCTGAGAACACGTAGACACAATTCGACGACTAAAAAACAATTAATTCGTAATTAAGGGCCGTATTAAGAGATGGTATGAGAGCGCTGCATTGTCGAGCTCATTTAGGCGTAGGGATGCGAAGTGACAATGCTATCGATATTATACTTTATGAAAATTCCATTTTGCATTGAATGATCGACCCCAATACCAAAACAGCGCTAGAGATTTTTTACTTTGATGTAATAAGTAGCACAAATTGAAACACCGATATTTATCGAGTCTCGAGTTATACTAAAGTAACTTTTTGGCGTATCTGCCTCTGTAAAGCCTTGGACAACCAATTCGTAAGCCTCCGCGAGTCGTGACCTACAAAACAACAAAATACGACACTAATCGAATCCATTCAATACTTCACAATTCGATTTTTGAATGGCCGATAAAGTGCGACATTCGAAACGCGCTGCAATTTTGCATACGTAAACATCGTAAATCTCGTTCATTGAAATCGATATATCGATATCGATATTTACGATCGATTCATTACGGCACTATGGGCCGTGCCTTATCGAGGGGACAACGCTCGAGTCACGTCCGAAACAATCACATCTTCATTAATTATATGAGGAATGTTTGTGTACTTGTTTCACTATACGACAACTTTTAATTAATAGTATTCGATTTAAGTACTATTAAAATTATACTTTAAAAACTCGTTGGACTATTAAATAAGTTATTTTGACATAAATAGAATGACAATTGTACATAAACTTTCCCCAGTAAGTTATATATACAGAAAAAAATTCTATAAATACCTCTTCTATAAAATATTCCTTGTGTTTAACAGATGTGTTGGCATTTTTTCTATTTTCATTATTTAAAAAATAAATAATTATTACCGCTTTCACTCTGACCATGCAGCCATTGAACACGTGAAAATTCCGGTCTTATTAAGCAGTCGTAAAAGTAAAAAGTGGTGTTTACCTCGACCATCTTTGTGAAACAATGGACATTTTTTAGTAACCTAATAAAAGAAAATTTAATTTTCTACCACAGCATTTATGCTTGACGTTATTTAATCGTTTATTATCGCGTTGTTTTTTTAATCTATTTTCACTTTAATTAAGTATATTAATTATGCTAGTCTTTATTTATTTAAAACTAGCTGTTTCCGTGCGGCTTCATCCGTATGAAATTGTGAAAATTTAATTTTATTGTTTACATTTGTCAAATTATCAATAGCAAAATGACATGATATCAAACCATAGCAACCTTGCTTCCTTGATGTTGGCAAGAACTTATGGTCTCTTTCCCACATTATGGTTTACCCAAAACATTTATCCCCTAAGTTTAATGGCGTGAAAATATATAGATTAAAGCATGACGTAAGTGGAGGGCTTTTTATTAAAAAAAATAATTCAAAAACATTCTGTAATTGCTGACATCTTAGGCAACAAAGAAGTGTGTGTTTACGCTTTATTATAATAGTATAGATTAAAATATAACCTCTTTTGTATGTATAGAGCTCTGATTGTTTGTAGGCTTTTCTGATATACATTTTAGTAATTTCTTTTATCTGGAAACCGAAACAATTGATGGTGTCCATTTTTGATGATCAGTTGCTTATACTAATTTGAATACTACGTAATCATTTATTAATGTTTTAATAAGAACTAAATAATTTAATTGGACTGTTCATTTAAAAATGATAATAATAATCACATTTTAAAATATAGCTTTAGATTTTGACTGTTATATTAAAATGTTCTGGATATTTTAACAATGTTGACAAATTTCAATTACGGCCTTTGTGTTTTAGTTAATTTTAACATAAACATTCTTTCCGCTCCGCCGTCAAACGGGCCACACCTCAGTTCCCAGTAAGTGATAATGAGGGCCCGATGCGAGTAACTAAGGTGCATTTCGTGTCAATTTGTCGCTCAGGTTTTTGCACAAAAGCGCCGGTCAAAATTCAACGGTAATTAAATGCTGTGCACACGTAATTTTATTTGTTAATGAAAAATTTTATAACAAATACACGCTTAGTAAAGTCTTATGTTTATCGGAATAAGAATCAAATTCGCATGAATTAAACATAAGTTATATTTGTTTTTGAGGCTTCATATATGGAATTTGTTATTTGAGTTCATTGCACGTATTCTTACGTAAATATTATAATTATTTATTTGTAGGTATTTAATGAAGTCATTTGATATCTTGTTGCGTCTGTAATTATAGACTGTACTGTATACCCTTCGGCATAAGTTATGTTCCCATTGATCTTTGCAGCAGCTTCCCCCCTACAGAATTAGTTTATATAAGAGGAGAATAAATGTAAAATAGATTTTTTTCATACTATTAGGTGGCAAACGAGCAAGCGGCCATCTGAATCCACCAAAATGGAGAGCGACCGCTGCCCATAAACATCCGCAATTGCAGATGCGTTGCCTATCATTAATCGACAGATGAGGACACGCACATAAAGAGGACATTTCCCCTTCCTATGCGTCTCCTCCACCGTCAAAACCACTTTTCTTTCCATCCTTTCCTCTTAAAAAAAGAGTGAAAAGAGAAAGGGACTAAAATTATATAAACTAACTCTGTATAAGATCATATTTATGCGTTAATTATTAAGGAAAAAAAACACATTTATGACAGCTGCCTCTCCTAGACTTAGCTTAGTTCGTCAGTTGGCGACTTCCATAGTAGTAATAAATTACCCAAATGAGATTAAATCTTCATTTATAACTAGCTTTTGCTCGAGACTCCGTTCGCGTGGAATTAAAAAAACAAAAGCAAGTAGCCTATGAGTTCTTCAAAACTATGTTCAACAACTATGCCAAATTTCATCCAGATCAGTTCAGAGTCTTCATACTCTAACAAATTTCCATCTACCTAAACCTTCGTATTTATAATATCAGTGTGTTTAGTATGATTAAAATGCTTGAGTAATCACTTTATTAGTAAAAGAAGATTCAATTAAATTTTGTTTGCAGTTGTAATGCGGTCTAATTGAAATAACAAACGCTTCGTCAACTTAGTTAATAAGTTTCAACTAACTCGTAAAAATGAAGACGTAATGACGGCCAAATGGCCCAACGACGCCCGCGCACGCAAACTTAACACGAACACATTAAATTTTTTTAATTTGCTTTGAATATAAAAAAAACAGTAATTCAGTAATTTGAAAGCGGCTGCCGAATTAAATGCTAAATTAATATAATTAAATTTAATCATGTCTTTGTTACAGGTGCAAAAAGAGAAAATGATACGCGCGTTTGAAGATTTGCCGAAAATTAAACGTAAACGGTTATTATGACGGAGTGTGTGAAGTAAAACTATAAAGATGTTAAAGGAACTGACTTGAATACAGTGGTAATTTGTGGAACTGAACGATGTGGAACTGAGTTTGTGAATGATGCCTGATCGCGAGTCGGTAGGTCCGGGGACAACAGGTAGCGGTGGCTTCTTGCCACTTCAGTTCCCGTCGGCTTTCGCGGCGTTCCACGCGACCACGCCCCCCGGCGCACAGGCATCCGCCATGCACCACGCCACGCATTACCATCACCATGCCCAGTAAGTATCATAGTCATTTACTTAAGTTAACTGTATTACTCCAAAATGGTTAAATACTAGTTAAAAATCTGGTTATATTAAACTGTTAAAACTTCCGTGAGACATTATCTTAAACGAATTAAAGACGACTCCGGTAACGGCTCCGACTAATTTCGGACCTATCGGGGATCCATCTTCAGGGCGAGCACTTAAATTGATTTCTGCATTACATTGTGCTTTGCACTGCTGCTAGTACGAAAGCAAATTAAGTACTAGCCCTGAAGATGGACCACTAATCGGTCCGAAACTAATCGATGCCGTCACCGGAAGATCAAACGTAAGTTGTGCCGTCTTCAATTCGTTTACGTGGTTATATGTTTCACATTAATATGAATTACTACACTGCTTACGGTGTATACCGAAAGTACATATGTTTTTTTTTTTTGTAAATTGGTTCAGATAGTAGTTCGCAACCCTTTGCGTAATAATGTGTCGATAACTATGACTAGTGAATAATCCGCACAGGGTCCTAATGTTACGGTATAAAAAGGTTGACTTATGCTAAAAGGTATTTAAAACACTAGTTCGACAAATGTTATAGAAAAAAACCAAATGTAAACAGTAACGACTACTTACAACCATAATTCTGCAATGTAATGAAATATGTTCTTTATAGTTTTATATGAGGGCTAAAGGAATAGATAAGGAGTCATAAAATGACTAAAGTTACCGCTACCCTCTGTACACTGTTCCATTTTATACTTGAATGCTTTTTAAATACCAATTATTCGTGATGTTTCTGTTTTAACGTCTCATTATTGCCCTGTTATTATCATAAATAGTTCGGATTATAATCTAGTAGGTTTCGTCCGTTCAATGAATTCATCTACATATGAAATTTAATTATAAATTATCTGGAATAGCAAGTGTCCTTTAGTATTACGATCGTTCCATGTCTTCCACTCGTTCCGTAACGCCACCTCCATTTATCGGACCGGACTATAAAATAGAGTGGTTCATTAAGCATTCGACCAAGAACATGCTACCACATCTTTTTATTGCATAACTACATGCACCGCGTTTTTGTCATCATAATATTTCAACACCGACTTTGTAACAACACATTTTCAATTAAAAAACCACCGTTCTTTAGCCAACAATAATTATACGATATTTATGAAATACATCTTCATGAATTTACCATTTTATTGGCGCGATATCTTCGCAGTCACCTATTTTTATTGGACGAGAATTTTTATTAGGATCACTTTTTACTTTTATTAGATTAGCGGCGTCGGCCTCGGTTTACGGCACCGGACCTCGTAAAATCCAGTCCAGGTGGGACATGGTGTTACTTAAGGCTAATTTATTGCACAAATGCGTAGACTGTTAAATGCGAAGACGGTATTAATCTTTACTAACCGACCATTAAAAGTGGTACCCATCGACAAGTGAATGGAGCCCTGACAAATGAAGAACAGGAAGTCATCAAAGGAATTGAGACGTTTACAATGTTAGTATGGACGTTAATAAAAGCGGGACGGTGCGTTTCAACAAACGAGTCGCTCGCCTCGCTCAAAGGGTACGTGATGTATGGAGGCGCGGCTGCCTGCCCGCCTGCCCGCCTGCCCGCCTGCCCGCACGAGATGATTAATGTCCGCAGTCGTGCCCCGGGCCCTCTACCACCGAGATTAGTCAATACCCAATGAAATTAAACAACTGTTAATTCTTCAAACGCTACACTCGTAGCATTCGACGTCCTCTCCACTCACATTTCCATTATTTTATTGTTTTAACTCAATAGCGCTTTGTTCGCGAGGAACACCGCACTCGATCTTCCAGACGCAGCGGTCACTTAAATCATTCTCGCGAAGATGGATGCGGTGTGTGCCGTAGTTAAATTTATTTCAAAGCCTCCCCAACACAATAGTTACGTCTACGACTTATTTATTGTGATTGTTGACTTCTTTATACTTACGATAAATAATTGCATTCCGTATGAAGCGATAGGATTTATCTGTTATTTGTGATCTTGCTCACGGTGGATGCCTTTGCATTTCGTCGCCGGATGCCGCGCGGTCGACTGTACCCATTAACGACAGCTCTCGGTGCCTCATTTAACCCGCTGCCGCGATAATTGCCACCACGTGTTTATTTCCAAGGCATCTAATTATAGCACGCACAATGGGTTGGACACGATCGGTTATTTTGGATCCGTTCGCTTCGTCAAAGTCAATTTTGTCCGGCCACAAAAGAGGTGTTGCGCGCGGTCTGTCGTTTGATTCATTAACTAAGAACCCTTTGAACTGATGTATTGGAATCGTTCACTTTACCTATTAATCCTTCTTCGTCCTATTTGTTTCTCGCCAATGTCTTGTTCTTTTGTTTCTTTCCACATTCCTCTCATTTCAAGACCCATTGTTTGTCGATTTTAGAAGTTAAGCTTTGATACTTAATTAACACTATTTATTTAGTATGAAAGAAACTACTTGGCTAATAAATACTAGAATCTTTTCAGCTTATAATGTAACTGATGTACAAGCTTTATAAACAGCGTCGCATCAATAATGTAGAAACTCAAGGAATCTTTCATCTAACACATGCGTCCCCACAATGCCGTCTAAAGCATAATAAAGTGCCATTCTCTCGCCCGCATCCCACCAAGCTCTCATTGTGACTACGTCCTGTCTTCACAAATCATCGAGACACGAAAAAACACTATTATTATTGATGTAAAGACAAAAGCATTATAGCAACGTGATTGGTCGTCGTGTGTGGTTGTCCATTGTTGCAGTAACACGAAGTGTCGGCGGCAATTAGCAGCAATGTCTTTATCATGTTTAGGATCTAAATCTTTATTATTTAGGTGTACGTTTCTTTTATCGATGACATCTAATACCCTGTATCGTACGCTTGCTTCGTTACTATTTAACTTTGTGTCTATATCAAATACGATATTCGATACCGGTTTTTATTTGAATTGTAAACCACGGATTTATGTTTGTAAGCTTGGATTGGTATTTTGTAAGAGGATCGGAGAACAAATAATTATTATGTTATCAGTTATTTGAACTTTGTAACATTTCTTCAGTGTATTTTGTTTTTAGTCCTTACTTGTTGCATTTTTTATATCCCTTGGTGTCTACCTTTCTTCTATTGTTATGTACATTCTTTATTCTAATAATTAATCTCAATATTTTTTATAATTTGGTTAGTCTTAAGAGTCACGTCTTTCAAATCATAGCTCATTAGAGAGCATTATTGTTAATAGATTAACCTTTAACCGCTAGTTCGTCTTCTTCACAATGACCAGTCAATTTACTACGGTAATCTGAGGCATTAGTTATTTCATCACCCGGATTTGTTCATTTATATGTTAGTTATTAGTAATAGGAGTCAGATTCAATCTAAATGCTTACACTAACATTTTATTGTTCTTTTGTAATATCCTCAAGTCATACTTATATTCTTTATTTTATGACATTAAAGCTACAGTGATCAATACTCAAATGAATCACATACAATTCTAAAAATTTTTCGTCGCATCTTTTAGTGTCATTAAAAAATAAATGTACTGATTCTAAACGAAGTTGTGGATAATAATATTCCACTTCATGAATCTCATTAAACATTGGAGTAGTTCTCAAAAAGGATTTAGTGGCATTGCGATGGTTAGGGAAATTTTGAAATAAAACTAAGAGAAATATAATCAAGTTAACCCTTTGGATGCATCCAGATGATTCCTAACCGTGGTCTCCGGGTTATTAGTTTCCTGTAGTGACAATAGCGGCGCTGTCGGACAGGATGCAGGGAATGACCAATTTACGACCGGAACCTGTCTCGGGTGCGATTGACCGATCGGAATCTTTTAGTGAGCGGATCTGAGATTTTATTGGTCGGTGACTGGACACGTTATTGTTATTAGTGCAGGGGTTAACAGAAATTGTTGTATCTTTACTGATCAATAAGAAGCTTATTTGCACGCGATATCGTCCGCACGAAATTAAATAAAAAAATCTGTGGTGTAGTTTTCTAATGGTGAAAAATGTAGTATCAATTCGTGTCAGTAATTTTTGAGTTTATTCACTGCATAATTACAAAAATACAAACGTTTTCTGTTTATAATATTATTGACTAACAATATCTTTTATCAATACATTTTTGTTGGTATATTTAGCGTATCGAAGTGGGGGGGCCGGCGCTCGGTGATGAGATGAATGTAATTAACCTAAATACAAATACGCGGCCACTTGTTGAATTGTACGTATTAATAGAAACAACGATGACAGTTACGTAACGAACACATATCGAAAGTTTCTCTTATGTTGGTAAAGAAAGACAATGTTTTATGAACTTAATGTATAGATGAACTAATTGTATTGTAGTCACATTAATAAGGGTTGTAATACATTAAAGAGAAACGAACCAATGACACAGCGTACTCGCAATTCTCCGCCCAGTTTCGCTCCAGTGAATACCAGTAGTCCAGTAGCATAACAGTATTTAACAAAACAGTTTCAATTATTTCTTACTGTATAAAAACAAATAACGAGCTTTATTAAGTTAGAAATCACTATCTTCATCACAAGTCTGAAAAGAAATCCTTGAACCAATATATTAAGTCATTCTATAAAAATCTTAAATAAATTCATCCATAAATACCTTCGAAAAATCTATATTAAACTATAATACACGTATAATCTGCACTCTGAATAAAAGCTCTTTAGTAAAAAAAGGTCCAAGTCATGCGATGTCGCGTGCGTGCACAGTAGCGCAGTTTCGAATGCGCCCGCACAGCGCCGGGCCCTCATTAAAGTAGGGAGCGTGTAAAGCCTTAAGATCGATTTAATGGACGCGAACGATATGGAATAAAGAGGGAAATAAAACGGTTATGGACTTGGATATTCAACAAGCGAATGTTTAAAGCTTATAAACTGGAAATTAAATATGAATCAGAAACACGAATGTTTAAAAAAAGAAAATATTAAAACACTGTCGTCGTCCAGTTTTAGCTCTAACGA